ATCTATCTATCTATCTATCTATCTATCTATCTATCTATCTATCTATCATCTATCTACCTTGGTTAGGACAATATAATTCTATTTTACCTTTTTATTTTATATATGTATATGAATCTTGTGGGATCTGAGTGAAAAGCTCTGATACCCTAGTATTTTGAGTTTTTCAGGGCAACCAGAGATGGTGGGATTGGAAAGCACAGTTTATATAAACACGTAACTGGGGTACTGTGGATAATTCAGGCAATTTTATGGTTTTATTCAAAACTTGCTGGGGCAAATTTTATTAAGAAGTGGATCCATCTTTGGGAAAGCAAGCATGAAGGTTATCGGCAACGTGGTCAAAACATTCAAGATGGCAGCCACAAATGGGGGCCTTCAAAGCTTTTTTGCATCATTGCAACCGCCATATTGTTTTGACCAGACCCTTTAGGGAGATTTAGTTAGCAACCACGAAAGGTGTGGAGCAAAATTACCAATTTACCTTCCAAAAAAGATATTCTGAGATGACCATGCCCACCAGGGCTGCAGGAAGGAGGCAAAAAAGTCAAAATGGCTTTCATGAATGTATGCTCAAAACCATATCATTTTTACTTTATGCAATGCACAAGAGCAGGGTCTGTGGCCACCATCTTGAATTTTTTTACTTCCTCCCTGTGGCTGCCCTCACGACAGCCCTTGGGACAGAAAACAAGGCCCCCCGGGTCAGCCATTTTGTGAAGAAGCCCATGGCATACTTTCCCCATCTTAATCTACTCTCTGGCCCCCAATAAAGGCTTCCCCAGCAAGCTAGAATTAAACTGTCATTGATTACAGATAGTCCTCGACTTACAACCATTCCTTTAGTGACTGTTCAAAGTTACCACAGCACTGAAAAAACAGACTTATGACCATTTTTCACACTTACGACCATCACAATGATCACGTGATCAAAATTCAGACACTTAGCAACTGACTCACAGATGTGACGGTTGCAGTGTCCCAGGGTCCTGTGATTCCACTTTGGCAACCTTCTGACAAGCAAAGTCAATGGGGAAACCAGATTCGATTAACAATGGTGTTCCTCACTTAACAACTGCAGCAATTTGCTTAACGATGGTGGCAAGAATGGTTGTAAAATGGGGCAAAACTCACTTAACAACTGTCTTGCTTAGCACAAAGGACATTTTGGGCTCCATTGTGGTCGTAAGTTGAAGACCACCTAGTCAGAAATATGGTCTAATAACCGGGTGGCTTTCCAAGAAGGATGAGGCTGCTTTCATAGGATGGAGATGTCCCATAGCTGTCTTCCCTTTGCTCGGTAGTATGACCACCTCGATTCGGACTGGCTGGGGATGCCTCCGGTACCGTCCCCACGTTGCCTGTTTGGACTCGGAGAAGCAGAGAACTCCATCTTTGTGGTCGGCGGGAAAGAATTAAAGGAAGGAGAACAGACCCTGGACTCCGTTCTGTGTTACGACCGGCTGTGAGTGCCAAATCTTTGGACTGGCGGGGTGAGGTGTCTTTATAGGAGGAGGAATAAATGATGAGTTTTCCCAGGGGGAATGAATGGGAAGGCATGAACCGGAAGGAACCGGGAGGGAAACTGAGGCTGACTTGTATCTCCTGTGTGGAGAAGACCTTCACCCACACTTTCTACCAGCCAAACTTTAGTTTCCTGAAACCCCATCCTCCCTGTGTTTTAAAAAAATGCCAGAAATTATCTTTCGGTCTGTTTATTTTCTCCTAATATTTATTTTTTATTTAATATACATTTTAATAATTTGTATTTATTATAGTTTGGATTATTTAGTCAAACACTCCACATGCAAATCCCAATATATCCCCTGACTCCCAGTGACAATCATCAAACAAGCCACTTCATATATGTGGGGCCCTTGGTGGGTCTTTGAGCTTAGCTGTTTTCCTGCAGATGTTTCATCACCAAACATTACCAACCAGTGCACTGATGATGTTACCTAGTTCGGTCATGAAATGTCTGCGAGAAACCCCCAAACTCAGAAAGCACCAAGGACCCCCAATCCTTTTCCTCCTTCTTCTCTTCTTCACAAACCACCACCTCAATCCCCTCCTAACACTGATGATGTTACCTAGTTTAGTCAGGAAATGTCTGTGAGAAAACCACCAAGCTCAGACAGCATCAGGGACCCCATAATTGTCCTCCCCCTCCCCTCCCTCTTCCTCCTCCTCTCTACAAACTTCACTCTCTACTAGCACTGATAATGTTCCCCAGTGGGGTCATGAAACATCTGCTTGGAAAGCTCAGAGATCACGAAGGACCCCAATAGTTCAACCCTGAGCTACAAATGTTGTCTTCTATTGAATCCACTTGATGGACTACATATCCCAGGCTCCCCTGGCCAAACCATGTCTTTAGGGGCATTTGAAATCCTATCACAAGATGGAAACCGGTCTTACCTCTGCAGGGATGATGTTCCACAGGGAGGGAGCCACCACGGATTAGGCCCTTCTCCAGGATCCCACCAAACAGACCTCCTTAATATGTCTATATGTCTATCTTGGTCATCCAGAATTGGAAGGACATTTTTGTAAAATGTCAACAGTCACTTGGGTGATGATGGTTGCACATTGGGACACGTCAGGACAGGAAAATACATTTATTTATGTATACACCATAATTTATTTGTAAAATACATTGGGGGGGGGGTGTGTGTGATGCACAGGCAGGTTGCTATTTTTTTCTGAGTCTCCACATCCAGCCTCTCTTTTCTTTCAGGTCCTTTAAATGGGGGGAAGCAGACCCCCTCCCATATGCTGTCTACGGCCACGGGGTGGTATCTCACAATGGCCTGGTCTACTCCATCGGAGGCAAAGGGACGGACAGGTAAGTTTGGGCTTGTTGATTAGTGTCATTCATAAATCAACGGAACAGCTTCCCTCCCAGAGTTGTCACTGTTCCAATGCTGGAGGTTTTTGAGACAAGATTGGATAACCATTTGTCTAGGATGGTATAAGGACTCCTGCTATGGATTGGGGGGGGGGGTTGGTTTGGAAGACCTCCAAGGTCCCTTTCATCTCTGTGATTCAATGAGGTTATAAGGGGGGGAGGGAGGGAGGGAAGAGGGGAAAGAGAGAAGAGAAAGAGAAAGAAAGAAGTGAAGAAAGGAAAGAAGGAAACAAAGTGGGAGGGAGGAAGAGAAGGAAGGAACAACAAAGAAAAAGAGAGAAAGAATGAAGGAAAAAGAAAGGGAGGGAGGGAGGGAAAGAAGGAAGACGAGAGAGAGAAAGTAAATAAGAGGGAAATAGAGAGGGAGGGAGGGAGGGAAAGAAGGAAAAGGAGAGAGAACTAATGAATGAAAAGAAGAGAGAAAAAGAGAAAAAAGACGAAGGAAGGAAGGAAGGAAGGAAGGAAGGAAGGAAGGAAATGACCGTTGCAGCATCCCCATGGTCATGTGATCCAAATTCAGCCGCTTGGAAACTGACTCGTATTTATGACAGTCGCAATGTCCCGGGATCACATGATCCCTTTCTTTCTTTCTTTCTTTCTTTCTTTCTTTCTTTCTTTCTTTCTTTCTTTCTTTCTTTCTTTCTTTCTTTCTTCTGACAAGCTGTCAGTGAGGAAGCCAGGTTCATTTAACAACTATGTTGCTAATTTAACAACTGCAGTGATTTACTTAACAACTGTGGCAAGCAAGGTCATAAAATGAGGCAAAATTCGCTTAATGTTTTGCCCACCCACAGAACTATTAGGATAAATTGCAGTCCTAAGTCAGGAACTATGTGTATAATAAGGATAGTAATAATAATAAAATTTAGTTCATGGTTTGTTTGCAAACCTGTTTTATATCCTCCTTTTCTGCTGCAGAAAATGTCTGAACTCTTTGACCGTGTACAATCCCAAGAAGTTTGAATGGAAGGAACTGTCGCCCATGAAAATCCACCGTTCTCTCTTTGGGACCACGGTCCACAATGGTAAAATTTACGTGGCGGCAGGAGTGACCGATTCTGGTTTGACCAACTCGGTGGAAGTTTACGATATTGCGACGGATAAGTAAGTGGAACCTCAGGCTGCACAGTGTCCCATAGGCAACCTGCAGGGCCTTTGAATCAATTTGCAATTTGTTTTTTTCCCCACGCAATCACGTTGTTTATGGTTCATTAATTTTATTTCTCTATAACCTACCTTTTATTATTTATTTTTACAAATAACTCAAGGCAAGGAACAGATTCAACATACCTAAACTCCTCCTATTTCACCCACAATAACTCTGTGGGCTGGGCTGGGCTGAGAGAAAGAGTCTGGCCCAAAGTCATCCAACCGGCTTTCATGCCTAAGGCTGGACTAGAACTCACATCTCCTAGTGATCGGCCCAAAGTCACCCAGCCAGTTTTCAAGCCTAAGGTGGGACTAGAA